CCTGCATTTTATTTCTAGTTTAGCGGGCCTGCGTGCCCATGCATATTTTCCGTTCTCTTTTGTAATGAACTACGTTCGACTTGATCCCGTTTGGGTACGTAGGCAGCTTGGATGTAATATAAATCCAAGTCCAGTCCGAACAATTAATAAATCCAAACCTCGGGTATAACAGCCCCTTTAAGCCTTCCCCTCGAGCAAGCCCCTTTTAAGCCTTGTCTTTGACGAGCCAATTTAAGCCTTGCCCTCGAGCAAGCCAATTTAAGCCTTGCCCTGGAGCAAGCCAATTTAAGCCTTGCCCTCGAGCAAGCCAATTTAAGCCTTGCCCTCGAGCAAGCCCCTTTAAGCCTTGTCTTTGACGAGCCAATTTAAGCCTTACCCTCGAGCAAGCCAATTTAAGCCTTGGCCTCGAGCAAGCCCCTTTTAAGCCTTATCTTTGACAAGCCAATGTAAGCCTTGCCCTCGAGCAAGCCCCTTTAAGCCTTGTCTTTGACGAGCCAATTTAAGCCTTATCTTTGACAAGCCAATGTATGTCTTGGCCTCGAGCAAGTCCTTTTAAGCCTTGCCCTCGAGCAAACACCAAAATCTTGGAGCTCATAATCAGCACAATAGTGCAGCACAAATATAAACACCGAGGACATATATCCCGACCATATATCCTTGTATTTTTGTCCTAGGCTGGAAAGTGAAAGCTCGGGATAAACTTATGTACAGAGGTCAGTCACAATTATTCGGACACCTCGGGGACTACCATCCCTTGAAATTAATCCTAGAGTATTAAGTATCTAGAAAACTACATCCTACACTGTCCTCGGCATTATCACTTGTTTTAAAATTCAAATTGAGTTATTCACAATCATCGAGAAGATTAATTAGTCGTCGAATTAATTACTCTTCCTTAGTCGTCGGGTTAACTTGTCCACGTGCTCGGGGGTTCACACCTGGATGTTCCAAGATAACTTTACTATTTAGTCCTCGAGGTACTTGTTTAATGCTCGGGTTCACACACGTTCCCAAATGATTTAACAGTTTGAGTCCTCGGGGTTAAATTTTTAAGTTATAATGTTCAGAATTTTTTCACAAATTAAGTCCTCGAGATGTTTTAACTACTCTAGGCGTCGAGTTATTTAACCATCATACGTCGTGCTATTTGAGTTTGTCATGATCGAGATAACAATACACAGCAAGAAGGAAAATTCTTGATCGAGTAAAATACATGTTCAAATTACAAAAAAAAAAAAAAAAAAAAAAAAAAAAAAAAAAAAAAAAAAAAAATCAAAGCCCAAACAAAAAACAAACAAAAACTAATCTAAGTCCTCGGCCCTTTCTCCCGAGGCTGTGCTCCCCTGCTCCTCCACTACGTCCTCGCCGTCAACGTCGACCTCATGGTCCTCGACGGTTTCCTCGGACTCTGAAAGCTCGAGGCCATCAGCAACCTCGGGGATGTTCTTTAAATCCTCGGGCTTAGCGTCGGGCTTCGATCTCAAAAATGCCCGAGCTTCCTTAAAGGCATGGAAGTACGAGCCCATGGCGTACTCTCCCTTAAGGCCGTTAAACTCCTCGGACATTTTGAAGTCCTCAATCGCAGCCCCTCGAGCTTCAGCCAGGCGAGTCTCAAAATCAATCTTCAAACGCTCGATCTCGACCTTTAAACCTTCGGCCTCGCCCTTGGCAGTTCCAGCCTCTTCTCGAGCTCTCCAGACATCCTTCTTCGAGTCCTCGAGCTCCTTCTGAAGAAGAAAGCGCTCAGCCTCCAAGTCGGCTATCCTCTTCTCCTATGCTCGAGAGGAGTCCTCGAGTTCGGTGGTTTTCTGGGCCTCATCTTTCCCTTTCAGAGAAAGGCCTCGAGCAATGCTCAGAGCCTGCACCATGTAACCCGAGCTTAAGTAATCACAGCATTTAAACCTTTTTAAAACCTTGTATTTTAAGCAAAGTAGATTGGGCGAGCTTACCTTCAGAGTAAGGGATTCCAGAGCCTTCATGCCCTCATCAAAACCAAGGTCCTTCCTGTACTTGTCCACGATGCTTGACACCAGAGGACACCAGTCAGGCTCCTGGTTTTGGAAAGAGGGCATAGGTCGTATATCATCCTCGAGGTCAACAACCTCGGGAGTACTCCTTGGCCGAGGATGTGACCGAGGTGGACCGGTAGGAGTCTCCGTGGCCTGAGTGGTCGGGGTATGTCCTCGGGCAGAAGTTTCGCCAGGGCCACTTTTGATATTCTCCGTGTCCCGAGCTCTCTTCTTTCCCCTCTTCTGCCCTGGAGCTCGGGTCTGAGGGGCCTTTGACTTCTTGGTCACGGCCTGCCTAAGGGCTGAAGGATCAAAAGTCATCTCTGCAAAAAAGAACAAGTCATTAGAACGAGCACAATTATAAGTTCAAGGACAGATCAGTAAAGAGGAAGGTAAAAAGGTCCTACCCTCAGTGCCTTTCACATCCGCGAGATCGAGAACGTCATCCCCGAGGATGTCATCTATATCATATACAAGAGGCTCGAGGTTCTCTAACATTACCCTATGCCTCTCTAAAGATTCAAAATAGGCCTGGCCTTCACAAAATCGAGGAGTGTCGGGCAAAACCCACCTAGGGCTAAAAGGGAGGTCGCTATCCTGAGGTATAACATAAAACCACTTTTCTTTCCAACCTTTTAAAGAGCTAGGCATCCTCGGTAATCTAAATCCTCCTCGGGATGAAAGGTAAGCAAAGCAAGTATATTGAGGAAGCTGTTTCAGGTCGAACACCATCCTACAGAGATCGACGTATGGGTTAATTCCTAGGTATCTACAGGCTATAAAAAAATAGATAAGCATCCTCCACCCATTTGGCACGAGCTGTCCAGGGCTCATATTATGCTCGACCAATAAGGCCACAAAAAAGGGATGCAGAGGCCATCGAAATCCCCCCTTTAGTGAGTCCCTAAAAATCACGAACTCTCCATCCCGAGCAAAGGCCATCCTATCCTCTACCCCTGGTGTCCTAACGTCGCATTTGGGCATGAGCCCATGCTCCCTAGCCGTCGATATTGCTAGATGTTCTTTAAATTTACAGGGGACCTCGGGATACCTAAAAGGGGTCGGGATACTTTGTGCCCGAGGTTGGGCATTAATTGGGACAGCCATAGGTATGATTGAGCATCCTATGTCCTCGGGATTACTCCTCGAGGATGACGAGGACGAAGTGTCGCTACTGCTACTACTAGACATCCTGACCTAGGTAAAAAATACCTAAAGAATAACTTAAAAACTCGAGGTCTTACCTTAAAGTCGACGTCTAAAAACTCAAAGTCCGATCCCGACGATTAGCGAGAGAAGTTTACTGAGAGTAAAAAGTGAAAAATGAAAATGAGGGGAGGGTATTTATAGGTAACAGGAGCAAGAAGCCCAAAAGTCACAACCCCGACCGTTAGATCTGGACACGTGTCCCACATCTAACCCTACCAGTTTTTACCGCCTTTTCCTAT